ATTTTTGTTCGTCTCCATCATCATCAAAGTAATAATCCCAAACATTACGAGTAATTAATTTACGATAAATTTTATTATCTAGAAAAAAAATATATTCGCCGATATCAGTGATTTCAAAACATTCTATATTTCCGTATTTAGTTTTCTCGATAAGTTTTTTATTGAATTCACATTTAAATTCATTTGGAATATTCTTTAATTTCTCATTTTTAAATGTTAGAAAGATATAATGTTTTTGTTTTTCGCAAATTTCCAAAAATGAAAATCCATAGAAATCAGGCTCAATTTTTATGAAAATTTCATCGTTATGATAGATGATATATTTTGTTCTTTTATTGATTAGAAAAGCTTGTTTTTCAATATGATCCTCTTCCGTAAAGAAGATTTTGATTTGATCTGTGATAATTTTATTTTCTTCTTTATATTTGAAATTATCAAGCTTCAATAATTCACCATTTCTTTCGAAAGAAAGGTATTTATGATTATAATCATAATCTTTTAATTTTGGAATGATTTCAGACATTTTTTTTTTTAATTTACGATATTCAATTTTTTTTTGATTTATTTATAGATTTAAAAATTAATAATATGAATTTAAAATTTGATACGAGATTTTATTTGAAAAATAATATATAATGAATGTGATTTTAATATTGTTCCAACATTCCAAAAATAATGAATATTAATTATTTACAATATATATTCCCAAATGAAATTTTTACAAAGATTTTTAAATATATAAAATATTTAAAATCTTTAAAGACTACACGTAAACGTTTTTATCTGATCATCAATGATTCCTTCTTTAAATTTCAATGGTTTTTGTCTTATCATGATATCATTCTTAAAGATGAGATGATTACATTTGGATTCATCTTTTTGATGAAAGAAATTAATGAGGAGAAAAAATTCTTTGTTGATAATGATATATATTTAACAAGACTTGCGATAAATTTACATAACTCCGAATTACAAGAAAATCGTAAAAAAGCATTTGAAATTTTTAAAATTATAAAGTGTTATCGTTGGATAGCAGAATATTATAGGAATGGATTCGGAGTTGTTAAAATCAATGAAAATAAAGCTTCGAAATATTTTGTAAAAGATTATGAGTTATATATCAAAAAATAAGATTTATTACGATAAAAAATTATGATAAGATATTTTATTAATTAAATAAATATATAAGGAGTTATATTTAAGTATGATTAGTTATTACAAAATGTTTATTATTCAATTACCAAATGAAATTCTCATCGATATTTTTAAACGTATCAAGATTTTGATTAACGTGATTGATGTATGCAGACAGTTTCGTGATACTATCGTCAATCCTTCTTTCAAAATTCAATGGTTATCATTTCATTATGAGATATTCCCATCTCAATATATTATCGATTTAGGATTTACTTTCTTTGACATAGAAACCGTAAAAACTATTTTTAATAGTAAAAATTTTTTTATTGATAAAACCAAAGAATCTGATATTATAGATGTTATAGCAGAAGTTGGTATTGAATTACATTTAACAAAAAAACTAGAAAACAGAGTAAAGGCATTAGAGATTTTTATGGTTATTGGTTATAATCAATTTTTAGGATATTATTACGAAAAGGGATATGGTGGTCTTGAAATTAATATAGAAAAAGCTATGGAATATTACAAGATTTCTGCCTATGAAGATAACGATTCTTATGTAATGTGTAGATATGCTTTATATCTTATTGAATCAAATAAAGACTATGATGGAAAACTTAAAACTTATAGATATGAAGAGATTAGTGAATTATTTAGAAAATCTGCAGAATTTGGGAATATACATGCATCTTTTTATTATGGCGATATTTTATTTTATGGATATTTAGGTAATGAGATTAATAAGGAAAAAGGATTAAGATATATAAAATATGCAAGTGATAATAATCACGAGGATGCAAAGAAATTTTTAAAAGAAATATCTTAAATATGTATACAATAAAAAAATAAATAAAATAAATAAATTTATCATGAATAATCAGTTTTAAAATATTTAATGATTTTATTTATGATTTAAAAATATAATTTAATTATTGACAGAATAGATTACATGAGTGTGATTATTAAAAAGATCTGTAATATCATCATACATCTTATTTAAGAATGTTTTAGCATTTTTATGACCATTTAATGCAGCATAAAATATATAGTTATGTCCTTCTAAAAGATCTATTTCATTATCTAATTTTCCACTAATTAAAATAGTACCATAGATAAAAGAGGCTTCGATATTTCCAAATTCAGCAATTTCTTTAAAAGTATTCATTATCTGAATTTTATCATCTTTATCAATATCTACTATTTTATCACCGATTACTTTTTTTTCATTTCTCATCATGAGAATAGTTTTTCTAAGAAGAGCTTCTTGAAGAATATCTTTTTCAGATTGATCTTCAATCGAAGCCATGTGATAATATTTCAAAGCTTTATTTTCATCGATTTCAACAAATTGAAATCCATGTTGGTAATAATATCCTAACCAAAGATTACAATTAATCTCGTTAAAAATTTCAAATGCTTTTTTACGATTTTCAAGAGAATTTGTAATATGTAAATTCATCGCAAGTCTTGTTATAAATTCTTTTGTGAATTTTATCTTGATAGTTTCTATAGTTTCTGTATCAAAGAAAGTATGATTTCTAGACGTTAAATTATGATAGGACAACCATTTGATTTTAAAGGAAGGATCAACAATAATAATTTTAAAATCTTTGCAGACAAAGATTACATTGATTAAGATTCTGACATGTATAAAAATATCGACGAGAATTTCATTAGGAAAATTAAGAATGGACATTATTAAATAATCGTTTTATTTTATTTTGATATTAGAGAAAAAAAAACCATTTTATTTATAGAAATAATTATTATTGATGATAATTATTAATTGATAAAATATAAATATTTTTGATTTTTCTTTAAAAATATTATAAAATGATTAATATTAAAGAATTACCTAATGAAATTCTTATTACTATCTTTAAAGAATTAAGAGATTTGAAAAGTTTGATTGTCACATGTAGACAATTTTATGAAATCATAATTGATCCTTATTTCAAGGTTGAATGGTTTCATCATAATATATTCAATATATCTGAAATAATTCAATTAGGATCTATATTTTTCGATAAAAGAGTTGTTGAAATTCTCAAGAATAATGATAAATATATTGATGGTTACGGAGAATATGTTGTAGCACGTAAATATTTCTATACAAAAGAAATGCCAATAAGTCATGTGCTTTATTCTGAAAATTTTTACGTTATTCAATTTGAGATTTATAAAATTTTCTTTGCTTTTATTTTAACTTTATTTATTTTTATCTTTGAAAAATTTTTTTCACTATGGTATTTTTTGTTATTATGGTTTATTTCCTATTTATTTTGGTCATTATGGTATTATATGGATTTTTTATTCGTGAATGAATTTAATTATAGTTTTATGTTAAACAAATCAAAATCTGATTTTATTTAAAGATCATATGATATAATAATAAAAATTTAAATATATTGAAATAATTAATTGAATAAAGTCATAAAATTATTTTCTTCAAAAATTGGAATTTTATCGTGATAAATTTTTATAGTTTTAATATTATTATTGAAAAGTTATATCATCTATCATAACGATAAAATTTTCATAAAAATAGAACCAGATTTCTATGGATTTTCATTTTTAGA